TTGGGGCTTAGGGTTTAGGCTTCAGGAGGTATCAGAGTTGAGGGTGTCGAGACTTCAGAGGTGCGGGGGTCTCTTAGCGGTTTTGCGGGCTTTCTTTTGGGGGCCTTCAGAGGAATTTCTGAAACGGGTCTTAAGGATACTACGAAGTGCAGACCTGACTAGGCTTCCTTTAGCTGCTTAAGCAGTGTTACGGGATTTACGGCAGTCATTGGCGCCTTAGGCAGGCTTTGTGGAATGTCTTTTGGGGGCTCAAAGCTTGGGAAGTTTTGCGGAGTTTCTTCAAGGGATTAGGGGCCGATTCATTCTCTTCAATGGTTTCTTGGGTTTAGGGTTTAGGGAGTACTGTTGATGATATTATAAATCCTTCTTTACCTTAAGGACCCTAAACTATGTGAATCATGGTATATGTCTTGTTATGGGTAAGGCAGGATTCGTATCATCAACCATAAGTGTTTAGGTCAACCCCTGCAAGGCCTTGTCCGCGCGGGAAGAGGACGGGGTGGAGGGCTCACCCCGTGCCGTCTGCTTCATGCAATCCACGATGAAGCCCTGCACGTTGTCGAACCTTGGGGGTCTTTTTGAGGGTTTAGGGTTTCGGGTTTAGGGTTTAGGGTTTAGGGTCTTCATCCAAATACCACGACAAGCAGAGCCTGGTGCTTGCTGGTGTGTTGCGAAGAACCCCATTTAAGAAAGCCCTTGGAAAGCCGACAGAGCAGCCTAAACCGCCCTAAACCCTAAACCCCAAACCCTATAAGCCGTAACAGAGGCCGTGTGACTTCAGGGGCTGCCCTAAACCCTAAACACGCCTAAACCCTATAAGCCGTAACAAAACCCTAAACCCCAAACCCTAAACTCTATAAACCGTAACAAAACCCTAAGCCCTAAACCCTCAACCCAAAGGCCCAGTGACTTCAGGGGCTGCTTCAAGGAGGCCTTGCGGGCTGCCCCCACGAAGGCGCCGGCCTCCCTCAGGGAGGGCGGGTGGCCCATGGGCGGGATGAGGCCCGAGAGGGACAGGGACGACTCCTCCACTTCCTGGCAAGGACGATGGGGTTTAGGGTTTAGGGTTCGGTTTAGGGTTTGGGGTTTGGGGTTTGGGGTTTAGGGTTTAGGGTTCGAGGGTTTAGGGTTCGAGGGTTTAGGTTTTAGGGTTTAGGGTTTGGGGTTTGGGGGTTAGGGTTTAGGGTTTTTGGTTTAGGGGTGGGGGGGGGGGATGTTTCGGTTCGAGGGTTTAGGGGTTTTGGGGGTTTGGGATTTTAGGGCTTCGGGGGGCTGTTAGGAATGGGAAGATGCTCCTATCATTCCGGAAACGCGTCAAGACAAAAAGCACCAAGAAGATCTCTAGACAGCAATCAGACGGGGCAGTGAGATCGCTGTCCTTCATGGCTTTCTCCACCTGAGTTGCTGGCAACACAGGGCACTTCTCTAAAAGAGACGCCTGAAGGGCGACAGCTGCCGAAACAAATCCTACAGTGTCCCCACAGTGACATCAAGCATTGATCTGACTCTCTTCAATGCACAACTACTTGGAGAGTAAGGTTATAAGTCCCCTAATTTGGGTTATAAGTATAGTTACCCTAGTTATAACCCTAGTTACTAAGTCCCATGATCCTTTAAGTAGAATCACTAGCACGAAAGCTTGCGCGAAACTAGCGCTCTGCAAGGGGCAGCCGGACATAAGTATCGGTTCGTACACTCAACGGTGAAGCTCGAAATCCGAATATGCAAACCCTGGAACATGAAGCACCAACCATCAACACCTGAGGGCCATGAAAACCTAAACCCAAAACTCCAAACCCCGTAACAACCCTAAGGAACCCTTCTGGAGCCGTTGGGCAACCCTCTAGAACCCTATTGCGTGCCATATAACCGAACCTTGCTAGAACCGTCTAGAGCCTTCATAGACCCTATGCAACCCGAATAGCACCCCTACAGAACCCTTATAGAACCCTTCTGGAACCCTGATAGGGGGGGACCCAACATCCTACAACCTTATAGAACTCCTTCTAGAACCCCAAACCCCAAGCCCTTAAAAAACACAAACAGAGCCCCAGACCCTCAACCCTACGCACCCTAAACCCTTATAGAACCCTCACAGCGCCCTACTTTTGGCTCCCTTCCAGAACCCTAATAGAGCCCTAATGGAGCCCTAAACTCTTATGGAACGCTAATAGAGCCCCAGTCACCTCTGCCGAGAGCTTTTCGGGTAGTACGCCCGCCAAGGCGTTGGGACCAGGCTCGTCCAGCAGATCTTTGGGTGACCTTGGGTTTAGGGTTTGGGGTTTAGGGTTTAGGGTTTAGGGTTTAGGGTTTAGGGTTCTACTTGGAGCTTCATGGGTAGTTATACATTGGGTGATAAGTCCCTAATATGGGTCAGAATGAGAGCTACGCTACTTATATGAATACCATGAACCTCCAAGTAAGTATTTATTGGGAGCGCCCTGTTGCGTCCGCCCCAGCAAAGGTTGGTTGGAACCCACTTCGTGGGAGGCTTCGCCCACGGGTTCAGGGATTGGTTTAAGGTCCAGGAGTCGTGGCCCAGTTTTCCTTCAACCTCTGCTCCCCCCCCCTTCTGCCAGGGTTTAGGGGTTTAGGGTTTAGGGGTTTACGGGTTTAGGGTTTAGGGGTTTAGGGTTTAGGGGTTTAGGGTTTAGGGTTTAGGGTTTAGGGTTTAGGGGTGTAGGGTTTAGGGGACGGCCGAATTGGGTTCACCCTGTAGGCTTGAGGGGCTCAGATGTTCGGAGCATGCGGAGGTTGGGGGCCTGGAGGATCGAGGGACTTCGCAAGTACGGTCCCATTACAACCAAACTCAGTGGGGCTTAACCCAAAGCCATACAAGCTGACCCCAACGGTTTAGGGTTTAGGGTTTAGGGTTTAGGGTTTAGGGCTTTAGGGTTTTAGGGTCATTACAACCAAACTTGGTGGGGATGGCTTCACCCAATCTAGGACATTTTCAGGTGGGTAGTTACCGATATAGGAGCCTTATAGAAGGTCTATTTGCCTTGTAGAAGCCTTATAGAAGCCCTATATACCCTAAACTCCCCACCTGTAGTTTCCTATAACCCAAAGCCATAAAAGCTGACCCCAAACGGCCACAAACCCCCGTACTCGCCTATACGTTAACCCTCTGAAGCCTGCAACTACCCGAGACGAGGTGCGCGGTCGCAGTCGGATCGCCACCTCCATCCTTTCAACAGCAAAGACAGGATAGGTGCCTTTGAGGGTTCCCTTTTGAGGGCTGCTGTACGGGATCTATAATCCGGGGCTTCCTTGAAGAGGGCTCCTTTCAGAGGTACGATAAGGGAGCTGTCATAAGGATTTCCCTTGAGGCTTCCTGTGCGGCATCCTTTAACTTAAAGTATCCGGGAAGGAGTCCGCAAGGGATGTTGGGCTTAGGGCTGCCAGGCCTCAAGTACTTCTTTACGGCATGAACCTTCGGAATTCTGCATGGAAGTCTGAAAGTTTGGGGCGTAGGGCAGCATCATAAGGACGCTCACCCCTTCATTATTGTCTTTAGGACTTGTGGAACCAGTTGAGAGCCCGAAAGCCTCCCAAACTGTGCAAGGATGCACGGTTTAGGGGTTTAGGCTTTAGGGTTTAGGGTTTAGGGTTTAGGGCTTCGTTCAGTGTCGGTGGGCGTCCAGAATTGGACTCCTTGTGTGACTTTCAGCTGCACACAGGAGCTCCATACCCCGAAACCCAGCACCCCCTTCTCCTAAACCCTAAATCCTAAACCCGAAACCCCCTCCCCCCCTCAAAAAAAAACAACTCTGGAGCTTCCAAAAGCGACGCTGGTTCTTTGAAACTCCGACTCCGGTCCGACGGACGAGGGATGGCTTCTCCAGTTGATGCATCTATCTATCACACTGGACATACACCGGGAACTGCCTCTTTTGCATGTGTATCATACACACACACATACATGCATGCATGCATGCATGCATTTTTCTATATACATACGTACATACATGACATACATACATGTGCATGTGTGTGTGTGTGTTGTGGGTGGGTGCACGTATACACAAACATATACAAATGTATGTATGTATGTATGTATGTATGTCTGTATGTATGTATGTATAGCAAGTAAGTATGTATAGCAAGTAAGTAAGTAAGTAAGTAAGTAAGTAAGTAAGTAAGTAAATAAGTAAGTAAGTAAGTAAGTAAGTAAGTAAATAAGTAAGTAAGTAAGCAAGTAAGTAAGTAAGTGAGTAAGTAAGCAAGCAAGTAAGCAAGTAAGCAAGTAAGCAAGTAAGCAAGTAAGCAAGTAAGTAAGTAAGCAAGCAAGCAAGTAAGTAAGTAAGTAAGTGAGTGAGTAAGTGAGTGAGTAAGTGAGTAAGTAAGTAAGCAAGTCGGTATGTGTACCAAATGTGATCCTCTCTTCTCTGTGATTTGTATACCGGTATGTACAGTCAGGTCCAAACTACCAACATGCATATACACACACATACGTGTATGTGCGTTTAGGGTTTAGGGTTTAGGGTTTAGGGTTTAGGGTTTAGAGCGTATGTGTGTGTACATGCATATGCGCACGCATGCAATGTACGTATGTATGTATGTATGCATGCATGCATTGCATGCATGCATGCACTTGCATATGTGTGTAGATGGATATCTATATGGTTATGCTGTGGCAGTCGTAAGTGTATGCATATGTAAAGGTGAATATATTATTTGTGTGTATGTGTATGAGTATGTTCATGTGTACATGTGTATGTAGGTGTGCACATGTATGTTTATCTATCTGTTCATGCAGTGACTTCAGATGCATCAGTTTACCGGAGGGGCTCGGTATCAAAATCATTTGGTCTGTCGTCTGTCTGTCTATCTATCTAGCTGTCTGCCTCTGTAGATCACACAGCATGTTGCAACGCAAGACAACATAAAGAAATCTCGTAAACAAAAATACGTACGTGTATGTAAGGCATGTATGCCCGTATGTATGCGCTCGAGATGACCCGGAGCACCAGGGCGCCTCGTGTCCAGCGCTTGGCGGCGTCTTTGGGCCCGCAGGCGTCTCAGTGCCGGGCTGTTCCTTGAGAGAGTCTTTCACAGCTACTGATGTTAAGTGTCTCGGAAGTTTTGTTGCCTACCCTAAACCCCAAACCCTAAACCCCTAAACCCCTAAACCCCTAAACCCTAAACCGTCTCCTCTTGTTGAGGGGGGATTTGGAGACGCTCAGGGCTTGAGGTTTAGAGGATTTGGAGTTTGAGAGT